GGGGGGGTGCTGGGATGAGCTGGCGTCCACCCAGCTTGGCCTCCTTCCCCACTCACCCCACCACTTCCTGGCAGCCCCAGAGCCAGAGCCGAGAGAGCAATTCCAGGCTCCACAAATTCCAGGCCCAGCCTCCCAGCTGAAGGAAGCAGACAACTTTCCCACAGTCCTCAGGGTGGAGGAAAGCTGGTCTAAAACTGTCCTGATCAGCTCCAGACACTTTCCTGCAGCAGCTCTCCCGGCCTCCCCTCCTTCCTGAGGCACAAACACCCAAGGGGCTGCCCTCGGCCTCCCAGCTGAACACTCGCTATGTGCCAGGCAGGGGGCCAGGCGCTCTACCCAAACCAACTCATTCACTCCTCCCAGCAACCCACACTGTGTACAGGGGACCCGAATGGTGATTCTTCCCCACCTGGTCCTGTCCCCACCCCCACCTGGCCTGGGGTCACCCTGCCAGGTCAGCCATTAGCCTCAGAAACCTGGAGAGGGTGGAAGTGGGCCAGGCTGGAGGGGAGGGAGAGGAGGGAGGAAGAAGGGAGGAGCAGGGAGGGTGCCCAGGCCAGGAGCCAGAGCCCAGATGGCCTCCACCCAGTCCTGGCCCTGCAGCCCCGGGGGACCCGGGAACAGGAGGCCCTTTGTGGGCGACGGGGCCAGCCCAGGTGGCAGGGGTTGGCCTGGCAGATTCCAGACAGGGCAGAGGCGGCTCTGGAGAGTTGAGAGGACAAGTGGGGTGAGCTGAGGCACCACGACTGCCACCTCCAGGCGTGGGTGCCCACACGGTCTATCCACCTCTGTGTGGAGCCAGGCTGGCAGGCTGGGCAGGGGCAGGCGCAGCTCCCTCCCTCTGCTGCCCCAAGGCCAGGCCACTAGGAAGACCATTTGGGGTCCAGGATAGGGTTGGCCCTCCCTCAAAATAGTCACAAGCCTTTTGATCAAATTCCTTAGAGTCCTATAAGGCACTCCTGACCACAGTGTGCCCTGCAACCCAATTTCAGATCAACCTGTCCCCAATTCAGGGCCTCCTCTAAACTGCTCCCACCTCTGGGCCTCCCCTCATGCAGCGACTACCTCTGTCTAGAACTCTCCTCCCTCTGCTGAAGGCTGATTCATCCTTCAACTGATCCGTCGCCCCCTCACAGAGCAGCCCTGATCCACCCTCCCCATGCATTGGATCAGTACCCCCCCAGTACAGTCACACCCTCAAGCCTCCCCAGGCAGCTCCCTCCCCAGCACCCAGCACAGCTGTGATTCATCACCCCTGGTACCCTCACCTATTTCACATCTGTCTCCCCACCGGGCTCCCAGCCGCTCGGGGTGCCAGAAGCACATCTCCCTCCCTTGCTGCATCCTCAGCACCCAGACACAAAAAGTGTTTGTTGAATGAATGAGTGAACTAGAAGAGACCTCATAAGTTCACAGATGAGAACACTGAGGCCCTGAGGGAGGAAGTAAACTTCCTAGAGTACCTAGGGTCAGTGGAAGGGGAAAAATGATATAACAAAAAAGATTTTTTACAAGCATTGAGTGTATTCTCATTGTAAATCCTCACACAACCCTCAGACAAGGGGGGGATTCTATGCCCATTTTCAGAGGCTCCCAGAGGTAAGTCAGTCTCCTAAGGTCTTGCTGCTAGAAAACGGCAGAATCAGGATGGTGATTCTGCAATCCAGGGTCCAAGAGCATAGCAATCACGCCCCTCTGAGAACAGTGTCCTGATTTTTTTCTGAGCAACACAGAATTTTTTTTGTTTTGTTTTGGTTTATTTTAAAGCCTCACCCGAGGATATATGTTTATTGATTTGAGAGAGAGAGGAAGGGAGAGAGAGAAAGAAACATCAATCGGTTGTCTCCCATACTCACCCCGACCAGGAATCAAACTCGCAACCTAGGTATGTGCCCTGACTGGGAATTGAGCCCGAAACCTTTTGGTGTACAGGACAAGGCTCCAACCAACTGAGCCACTGGCCAGGGCAACAGAGGATTATTTTCATCAAGGAAAAAAGTTAAGGGCAGCATCACTGTCGTTTCTCAAAGCCCGGAAGGAAAAGAGAATAGCTCGTAGAGCAGGGTTGCCACACCACACTCAGCCAGTAGGTGTCGCCATTCAGCACAAACCAAGGTGCTGCCCCTCACCCCCAGGGCCGGGGCCTGAAAGCCACTCACCGTTGTTGCAGTGCCGGATGCAGTCCTGCATGACAGCCTGCCACTTCTCCTGCTCGGCTTCCGTCATCATGCAGAAGTAGTAGTGACGTGCAGAAGGATGCCAGAGGATGAGTGGGAACTGCGTGGGGCACTTAAGGATGGGGGCAGTGCCTGATTTTGATGTGATCCCTGTGGAGACAGTGCCCTCTGAGGAGCTGCCCTCTGCAGTTTCCCTGGACCCCAACCTGAGGGGCAGGCTCAGGCCCAGAGAGGGTCGGCCTGTCCTGGGGTCACTGGCAAGTCAGTTGGGAGGCAGCATCCTTTCCTGCTGCGTCCTTCACAGCCTGACTAAAGGGGCCCCGACATCTGTTTAGACCCATTTTTTTAGAGCTGGTAATGCATCCACCCCTCTTGGGGAAGGTTCTAAACTCTGTATGGAAGGCACAAATAACACAAGGTCAGAGCCCTCAGGTGCAAAAGCCAAGCATTACCTTCTTGGGTTTCCCTTCAAATTTTAGCTACAGAGGCCAAAGTGTGGTTTAAATGTCCAAGGGGGGAGGGAGGCCTGGGAGTGGGGAATAAAAATAATAAAAGGGCATTTTTCTCTCTCTATTTTGTCTGCGTGGATTTTCAAGATCCAGTGAGATAATGGTCCTGGGCTGGTGTTAATTATAAAACAATGCCGGTTCTTCTTTGCGCCCTGGCTCTGTCTGTGTCCCTGGCTGGGCTTGGCGCATGCAGACCTCATGGGGTCCACACAACACCCCAAGGTCAGTCCTCTCAGTGCTGTGTTGCCCGAAAAGACACAGAAAAACAAAACCAGAGTGCAGGCTGGAATCCAGGAATGCCGACTCCAGCTGAGCCCTCGGCCACACGGGGAGCTTCAGTCCCAAGTCCCATCTAGGGGAACGTGCTGCCCCCCAGGCCAGCATCTCCCCCTCTTTAGTTCCCTGGGATCATCTGAGGGGCAGGTATGCTCCTGTGAGGCTTCTGGGAGTCTGTGACAAGGTGGGGTGGACAGGAGGCCGAGAATAACTCCTCGAAAACGCAGCACTGACTCAGCAGTTTACAAAGCAGGGTCACCTGGGTCATCATCTCCGGGGAGCCTCTCAAGGACTCAGGGAAGGGGCAGGATAGAGAGCGAGGTCCCCAGTGCACAGCTGTGATCATAGGTTTCAGGAAGCAGGGATTCAGGTGGGGCCCACACAGGTGCAGTCAGGCCTCCTCTGGGGGCTCAGTTCATGCTGGGCACCTGCCGGCAGCTCTAGGCCCAGATGGTCTTTCTGCAAACGTGGGGCCTGGAGCTGATCAGGCCGCCCTCTCCCTGGGCCAAATCCCCGGGCCTGTGCAGGGCATTTCGGCCTGGGGTGGGTGCTCTTTTACCTGGTAAGGAGTTGCCAACCAGCTCCAGGTACTGGTCCACAGAGGTGAGGATTTTGTAGCCTGCGCTGTTGATGACAGCCCGGGGTGGGACCTGCCGCTCATAGGCCTGAAGAGAGGGCAAGAGAGATGGTCCCTGGGGGTTACAGGTAATGACCGAGCCAAATCCCATCTCCAGCTCTGGCTCCAGGACCCCTACTCAGGGTTGCCCGGTGTTGCCCAAGGCAGGAGGAGAAGAGGGGAAGGAGGAAAGGGAGGAGGCAGGGGAGTCTGACCAACACGGTGACTAGAGTCAACATGGTATAGTGACCTGAACCCAGGCTCTGGGCTCAAATCCTGGCTCCGCTGAGTACTGTCTGTGTGATGCCGAGGATAAGGTTCCTCCACCACCTGTGCTTCGGTTTCTTCACCCATGAAACCAGGGTAATTGGCCCCTCGCTGAGTGGATATCCACCGAAAATGATTAGCACAGCGCCTGGCACAGGCGGCCAGTAGGCATGCTGAGGCTGTTATCGGCACAACTGCCACTGCGGCCTCTGTTATCAGCAGGGACCAGGAGCCACGTGTTCCTTACATGCCGGGCACTGTGCTGCGGGCACTGCGGGCTTCATTTCACAGAATTCGCACAATCCAGCCGGTGGGTGCCATGATTAGCCACAAGTTCACACAGCTGGTAAGTAGGGGCCTAGGACACAAACCTGGACCGTCGGCCTCCAGAGCCCAGGGTCTCTGACCATCACCCTGAACTGTCCACCAGCTCCCTAGGTTCCGAGCACCACACGAGTCCCCCACAGAGAAGAGTTAGGTCCCGCCACTGCTTTCCTTCACCAGCGGGGACAACCGGTTCTGCCGCAGTAGCTCATACAGCAGAGTTGCCATGCCGCACCCTGCCACTAGGTGTCACTACTCAACACATTTCCCGAGAGAGGCTCCAGCCTCTGGGGTGCTTGCTGATTATTGGCCAACGGTGGTCCCAGATCATCAAAAGCCTCAACAGCACCCGAGAACTTGTTAGAAATGCAAATTGTTGCCACCACCCCAGACCCAGATCAAACTGGGGCAAGACCAGCTACCTGATTTTTTTAAACAAGCTTTCCGGGTCATTCTGAGGGAATTCAATCAATTTGAGAACCACGGCCCCGGGACCACAGGGCTCCTGACTGTTACTCTAACACTGGTTTGCCCTGAAACAGGGCTCCAGCCTGTCCTTCTGGCAGCCCTGGAGAAATGTCTAGTAGAAGAAATTGGGTCTGTGGCTCAACCAGGTAGAGCTTCCTCAAGGGCCCAAGGCAAACACTCAGCAGGACACATCCCCTCCCCCCCCACACACAGGGCAGGGAAGTGGGAGGGGGAATCAGGAAGGAAAAGATAGGACCACCACCCAGGGACAAGCTGCTGAAGAGCAAGGGTGGAAGGGGTCAGAGGAGCTGAGTGGCAGGAAGCCCAGCCAGCGAGGAGGCTGGGTGGAAATGGAGAGATTTGGAAGGACTCGAGAGAGACTCGGGTAGGAGCCAGTTAGTTGGTCATGGGGATCCAGAGAGCTGGGTGTCTGGATGGATGAAATTTAGGGAGTGCGTCCTGAGCAAGCAAGGATGGGGAGGTGGGAAGGGGTGGGGGAGGTGCTGAAGTTCTGCTTTGGCCCTGGTGACGGGGACGGGGTGCTGGATGGCAGGCTGAGGGTGCAGGTCTGAGGTCTCAGATTTAGGAGTCGGGGGCTGGCCGTGATAACTGCGGTGACGGAGGACAGCTGGGGGAGCCATGGGGAAGGGGAAGGTCTGCTGGGCGGGGGGAAGCCAGTGGGGTGGCGGCCTCACCACTTTGTTCTCGTAGAGGATCAGCCCGTAGTTGTGGGGCACGAGGCTGAAGCGGTTCCTCCACTTCTTGTTGTCTTCTTGGTACTGGAAGAGGTTCCCCGAGAAGATGATGCGCTCATCCAGGGGCACCTGTGGGAGGGAGGAGGGCGGGGAGTGAGACCAGCGAGGCAGGGGGCCTCTGACAAGGGGACAGCCTGGCCTGCGGTGCCTGTGTGCTCACCCACGAAGGCCTCCGAGGCAGGGCTTCGTCTCACCCACGTGGCAAATGAGAAAAGTGATGCTCAGGGCAGCGAGGGGTCCAGGAGGAGCAGTGATGCCAGGACTTGAACCCAGGCCACGCACCACAGTTCAGAACCCAGGGAGGACCCCACTCTGTGCATGGCAGGCACGGTTACCTCGGGACAGGTGTGGGACTTTCTCTGTAGGGCAATCCCGCCAGCAGAGGGGACATGCCCACGGGCCAGGCCGGTGATGGCCCCAGTACCTGAGCAAGTCTCTTCCCAGCCTGGGCCTCAGTTTCTCCTTGGGGCAACAAACACTTGACCAAGGTGGCCCCAGAGAGCCTCCCCAGCTAACAGCTGATGGATGGTCTCCGTGACACTGGGTGGCGCTGCAGGGGACCTCAGTCTGGAGAGCTCGATGTCTGACCGGTGTCCTGACAGCCAGTATGAGCAACAGAAACGCCTACCTCCCTGCAAGGCCCTAACTTCAACTCCACCTCTGACTCAGTGTGACTTCAGGATGTCACATCACCTCTTTGAGCCTCAGCTTCCTCTTCTGTAAAATGGGACAGTGACAGCACTGACTTCATCGAGGACTCTCTGAGATGACGTGTGCAAAGATCGCGCAGGCAGCGGGCACCTGGCGGTCAATGCCTGCAGCTCACAATACCAGGAGCCACGGTGACCCCTGTTGGGGTTACTCAGTCTGTGTCAGTCCCCAGGCTCCACCACTGACTTATTTGGGGAGGAGGAGGGGTGGCCCTTCTGAGAGAGTCCTTCCAGAGCAGATCAGCACCAGAAGCTTCCGGAAAGGAGTCACAGGCCACCAGGGAACAGGCTCACTCCTGGAGGGGAGGAGCTCGGGGAGCCCAGGGTTCCTCACTTTCTGGACAGCTCCGATCTGTTCTACAAATATGGTGCCTTTTGCAAAAGAGACCTGGGTGCCACTTGTATGGAGTAATGGGAGAAAGCTTTATTTCAGAGGTGCCTAACCCTGCCTAGCTTCCTTGCTCTGCTTCTAGGCAGCCCTGCAGCTGCAGTGAGGGTGAGGGCCCCTCCCAAGCCGCCCCCAGGCCCCTCTCTTCACACGCAGCCCCTTCCCAGCAGCCTCCCTGCTACTCTTCACGGGGAAATGCCAAAACACTCTTGGAAAATGCGGGCCCATTGTACTTAAACAATAGGACCCTGCAGACTGCTTCCTACCCAGGGGTAAAAATATTTACAGGAAAAGAAAATGATTCCCCTACCCCCTCACCCCCCCACACAGCGGCTTGGCCCAGGTCGCAGGCTGCTGGGCAGTGGCCTATATTTAGACCAGGGCCTACCCTCACCCCACCACCAATGCCCAGGTTTTCTAGGAAGAGAGCAGAGAGGGCTCTCCGCACGCACTGCTGCTGGGGCTCCCCCGGCCTGCTAAGGGCAGGAGGCGTGACTCGGCGGCAGTGGGAGGCTGTGGCTAAGGGCAGGCCTTCCCAGGCCCAGTTGGGGCTCAGAACCCCGCTCCCCAGGTCCTGGGCAGCCCATAATGGGTGGTTGGTTGTGGGTTTGGGTTTTATTTTTAAGACTTTCAAATGGCAGAGTTGTGTTTCTATTGGAAGGTCTGCAGGAAATGAAACAGAACTGACAGCCCAGGCAAAATATTTTGGATTCTGCAAAGCTCTCCAATACCACGGTGGGAATCTTTGGTGGGTGGTGAATGGTTAGCACACAGGCCCCAGCTCCAACAGCCCGGGTTCCAGTCCCAGCTCCACCGCCCATGCCAGCAACTGGACCGCTCCAAGCCTCAGGGTCCACAGCTGTGACGTGGACACAATCATAACTCCTCAGACAACGGAATCGTGCCAGCTAACAAACGTGCCGGCTTAAAACACTATTTTTTTTATTATTTGTTTTTATTATTAATATTACTATTTTTATTGTAGTATTATTTTTTTTCTTATAAAAACAATTGATGTGACTATGATGATGATTAATATTATTTCTATTATTATATTATTATCACGACTTAACATCATGATGGCCAATTTCCTGAGTGGCAAAATGGGACCAAAAATCCCTGCTTTTCAGGGAGTAAAGATGGTTTCTTTTACTCTTCTTGCTTACATGTTAATTCTGTTTTCCTGCAATGAATATGCACCCTCACGAGTGCTCAAGGCACTTCTCATGCAGAGTAAAAGCCTAGTGCTATCAGCTAGCCCCCACTTCCATCCTGGGTTACTGGGACCTGGCTTGAGTCCTGCCCCCACCATCCTGGGGAAGCCATTTAAAGACTCAGCTCTGGGCCTTTGCACATGCCACTGCCTCAGTCTGATATTCCTCCTCCCATCAGGTCCTCAGCTGAGATGGCCCTTCTTCCAGGAAGCCCTCGGTGTCCACCCAGATGAGACTAGATGCCCACTGTCTGAGTTCACCCTGTCATCTCCTTCGTAGCACCCACTTGATTGTGTAAACAGCTGTTTACTGTCTGTCTCCTGGAGGGTCTCCAGAGCCAGCAAGGGCAGCCTGGCCCCAGCACCTGACCTGACACTGTCCCGGACAAGGGGACTGCCTGTCTCTCAGGGAAATCCTTAGTCTCATCAGCAGCTCTCCCACCCCCCTGAGCTAACACCTCCAGCCTCCAGCTGTTCCTCCTGCTGAGAAGACACCAAAGGGTAATAAATCCTCAAAGCCAGGTTCAAGTGACACCAGCTCCTGCCCCTTTGGCCTCAGGGTAAACAGGCACATTTTCAGTCACTTGGTTTGGGGGAGGATGGCAGTGGAATGAAATAAATATAAAAACCCCAGTGTCAGGCCTTCTTAGCCATTTCTGTCCTCTCTGCCGCCTCCCCTGTCGCCCCCGTGCCTGTCTGCACCACCACAACCTATGGCCTGTGCCTAAGCCCATGAAATCCCCACCCCTCCACGGAGCTGCTCTGACTCCTCTGGCCCACGACTCCTCTGTCTGAATGCCATTTCACACAGAGAAACTGAGGCTCAACAAGGGGAAGCCACATGTCTGAGGTTACCCAGCAGGCCAGGGCTCACATCCCATCTGTGCCCCAACCACACGCTATTTATCTTCTCACTGCATCCTCACCACAGTCCTATGCAGGAGGTACCCATTTGTCAGATGAGGAGACTGAGCCTTGAGGGCTGAACCAACTGAGAGAATTTGAACCCAGGTCCTCCTGCGTTCTTTCCTACCAGACCACAGGGTTCCAGCCTCTACCCCTCCTCTATGACACTGGCCCCAGCATCTCAAAGGGAGCTTGCAGTCCCTCACTGGACAAATACTTACTGGGCAAACATAGCCCTACTACTAACAAGGGGATAATAACAGGACAGTGGTCATGACAGTGTCAGCCAGCACTCAGCAACACCTTCCCTGCTCCAGGCACCCGCTGGCTCGACTCCAACCCCTACAGCCATCCTGTGCAGCAGGTGTGCAGATCCCATTTTACGGAGGAGTAAACTGAGGCTCCAGGGGGTGGGGTTATTTGCTCCTGGGCACACAGACAGTAAGAGAAGGATCTGGCTGGACCAGGCCTGTGTGTGCAGGAAGGGCAGAGCCGGGGGTAGTCACCCGCAGTGATAAAGGGGCCTGGACAACACCACCAGGTCACCTGCCCGTTCAGAAGCTGGTGTGGCCCTTAGAGACCATCATGGCAACAATGGGAAACGGAGGCCCGGAGGAGGCAGTCACCTGCTCGAGACCATGGGGAGCGGATGTCAGAACCCCACCAGAATCCGCCCCGCGCCCGGCCCCTCACCTTCCGCGAGAGCAGCTGGGCCTGCGGCGCCCCGGTGCCCTCGATCTCGTGGCGCATGCTGTTGAAGAGGGCGACGCCATACTGGTCCTCATAGTAACGAAGGAACTCCGTCAGGATCTTTCCAGTTTTCTCTGAAAGGGGAGGACAAACAGGAACATGAGGTCACCGTGCTATTTGCACGCAGCGACCCTGCCCCAGGGAGGGGCGTCCACAACACCCCAAATTCCCGCTTGTGAAAGTGTTTGCTCTCGAGGCATTGCTTTTCTGGGCGGGACTGTGTTTCCTGCACACACCGGGGTGAGCCTCGGGGCAGTCACCCCAGGCAGAGAAACTGCAAGTGGGGGGCTAGTGAAAAGACTCAGCCTCAGCAGCCACCACACAAATGCGGGCGGGACCCATCAGACCAGGGTGCGGATGGGCAGGCACCTGACCCGGCTGCGGGGCTGGAAGCGGGACGGCCTCTGTGGCACAATCATAAGGGTGCAAGTGAGAAGAACGAGGGGGGTCGACAGGTATGTGCACCAACAGAGGGAAGGGGACCGCACTTTGTCACATAAAGTTACAGAATCGCGTCGAGTACCATCTCCTTTGGAGTCAGCCCTGCCTGTGCGTGTGACATTCCTGGAGACGCAGGAAGGGGTGGGAAGGCCACACCCCAGAACCTGGAGATGGGACCTCTGGGTGTGGGACTGAGGCGCGCAGAGTCCATTCCATTTTCTGCTTTACTCACTTTTACAGCATTTAATTATTTTACAAGCATGATTCTTTTCCCAGTAAAAAATAAATATTCTAAAAGTGATACATCTACCAAGTTAACAGCCTTTATGCTCGCACTGGCCGTTTGCTTCTCTCTTCTTGCTCAAAGAGAAGGCGGCTGACGTGACACTGCCCCTCCCAGGGCTGGTCTCTGGACACAGTGGGCACCTGGCTGGGGCAGCATTTCATCTAATCCTCTCGCTAGCTCTCTGAGGCAGGGCTGGGTCACCCCATTTTACAGAAGAGGAAACTGAGACGCAGAGAGGTTAAGTCTTTGGCACAAGGTCACACAGCTAGCAGGCGGTGCAGCTGGGACGTAGTTCTGGGGCCCAGCCAGGTGGTGACCATGGTGGCCAGCGAGGAAAGCTAAAACCACATGCCACCCCCCCCACCTGAGGTCTCAGGCAAACCACGCCCTCCGCTACCTCTGAAGGAAGCTCAGCCCATGGGACCTCTCCACAGGCCTGTGCGCCCCCCTCCTGGAGTGAGATCCTGTGTCAGGATTCCGTTTTGGGGGGAGGACAAGGAGAACAAATGAGGAATTTGCTTTGAATGTCTATTTTTTAAAAACCATAAACAACCAGACCTTTCTCAAAGACCATGGGAATTTTTTTGAAAATGATGAGGCAAGATGGGGTTGGGGGAGAGAGATGAGGTAATGAATTGGGGCCAAATAGAGAAAATAGGACCCTAGCCGACAATCACGTTGCTAAATCATGTAATCATCATCATAATCATTACCACTGCTTGTGACCCCGAGCCGGGGTAGGCAAGGTTTACACGCATGATCCCGGAGAATCTTCAGGAAAACCCTGGGGAGTCAGCGCTGTTGTTTCCCCATTTTAGGCATGAGGAGGCTCATGGTCCCAGAACAGGAGAGCACAGTTCTCGGTCGTCAGCCCCCACAACCCTGGTCCGGGGTTTATCCCAGGCAGCCTGACCCGGCGGGCACGCTCCCAGCGTGCGGGATGGGTGGGCGTGGGCCCTCCGCCCTTGAGGGTCCTTCAGCCACGGCTCTGGGAGGCTGAGGCAGCCCAGATGGAGCATTATTTCCAGAAGGGCAGGAATCTGCCCTGACCTCGGGGAGCCAGGTCCAGGAGGAAGCTGAACCAGGTCTCAGCTGCCGGGTCAGCGAGGGCCAGACATCTCCAGGCCGGGTTCAGAAGGCTAGACGGGGGGAAGGACAGGAAGGGCGAGGCCAGCCAGGTGAAGGCCCAGCCATCATCCCATTGAGGAGGCTGTGGGTTGGAGAGGAAGCCAGCAGAGGCCGAGGATGTGACAGCCAGAACGAGGTGACCCAGACAGAGCCAGGAGCAAAAATGAGGCTGACAGACCTGGAACTTTGGGCCGAGAGCGGCCAGGGCGCGCTGGGAGGCGAGGACATTCATGCCAGGCCTCTCCTGGTGTCGCAGGGCAACCGTGGGCGAGGGTCCAGGGGTGAAGGGCAAGAGGACTGGGGAGGAGTCGCCAGGCAGAGGGTGGGGAGGGGAGAGGGTACCAGCAGAAACTTGGGGGGTCGCACTCAATGTAGCAGGAAAAGAGGAGGCAGCCCCATGCACCCTGTACCCCCAAAGAGACTGCAGCAGCCCCAGCCCAACAGCAACTCCAGGCACGCCTTGTACCCGAATTCAAGAGCTGTCCAGAGCTGGCCTGCTTTTAGATAAACCCGTTGCTACCTAAAATTCCAGAACCAAACAGATTGAAGACCACGGGGTCTCTCACCACCCAGCCCTGTTCTCCCCACTCTGGAGCCAAATAGATGGGGATGCTCCTATCTAAGGATCCACCGCAACCCCGGGGGGCCTGGAGCCCTTCTGGCCACCGCTGGATCCCTCTAGCTTGCCCCTGGGGCCCGGCACAGGCAGGCACTGAGGAAGGGGGCGTCCATTCGCCAGATGGTTCCTGAGTGCCTGCTCCGCACCAGGCCCGCCGGACAGGCGAAGGCCGGGTCAGGGTGGTGGCGATGGCAGTCCCCGAAGGGTTCCGACTAAGAGCAGGCATCGCAAGGGAGCTGGGCGCTCGCCGGCTTGGCAGCAAAGGGAGCACTGGGAAGGGAAGGCTGGGGGGGAACAGGGCGCAGTGGCTTCTTGGCAGAGGTAGCACCGAGCACATTCTTGAGAAATGTCCTAAGAGAGCTTGGGAGGAGCTGCCACGTGCTTGATACAAAGGAAGTGCCACAGGAAGGCAGGAGGGGAAGGGGTCCAGCCCCCTCCAAGGACAAAGAGCGGGCAGGGGACAAGTCCTGGACAGGGTCTCCCTCTCTGGCCAGATGCTGCTGGGGGAGGACCCAGGCACCCCCCTCCCTATAAGCGCTACTCAGCACCCCACTTTCCCCTCCCTGCAGGGCTATGTCCCAGGAACTGCCACGGGGATTTTACAACTTGAATCCCCACTGTGGCGTCCCCGCCTGGGTGTCTGTGGGTGGTCCCCGGGGCCTCAGGCACCTTTCTCCTCCACACCTGCCCACACCAGCTCGCCTTACTTCCTCACACAGCTTCTGGACACCACACACCGTGGATCTGGGGTCTCCAAGTCCCCCACACCATGAAGGGGACTCAGCCAGAGAGGGTGAGGGGCTCACCTGAGGTCACACAGTCAGACTGAGGCCCTCAGGGTTCAAGCTGGTCCTGGCTCTGTTCACAGGGCAGAAAGGAAGCAGGCCGTGGCCCCATCTCCAGAAGCAGGGCCAACCCAGGGGTCCTGGGCCCCGGAACTGGGAGACCCTGGCTAGTTGTAGGCATCCGGTTGCTGCTGGGAGCTAGAGATGCTGGGGCAGAGCCAGCTGAGGGTGTGTGGCGGCCTCGCCAACCTCCCACATGGCCTCGCCCAGCCTTCGTCCCCCCGGCGCTGACTCAGCCCCAGGTGCTGCTGAGGAGGAGGTAGCGGGACCGAGAGTGCCCGCCCCCAGCGCCAGGCTCCCAGGCTCCTGGTGAGGAGCACAGGGTGGGTGTTGGAGTCCCAGCCCTGCCAGCCCCCAGCCCTGCAGCTGCCTAGCTCTCTCAGGCCTCAAGTTCCTCATCTGTAAAATGGGTATAGCAGAATCCACTCGCAGTGCTCTGCAGGTCGAGGATGGCACGTGAAGCGCTCAGTTCAGACCACAACTGTTACCATCAATCATAACAGTGCTCAGCCTGTAACAGTGTGAGAGACTAACATTTTTATTAGCAGGTATAACTTTTATAGTTTGAAAAAATCCAACAAAAACTTTTTTTTAAAAAAGACCCAGGAAAATAATCACAAAATAATAAGAATACGAGTGGGTAAGTCTTCAGCAACGATCGGACAAAGGGAAAGCCCGCGAGGGGAAAGGAATGGCACGAACAGAGGCGAGGGGGCGGGAAGGGCAGGCCGGGTGTGTGCAAGGAGCCCCAGAGCCGCTTCCCCCCAACCTTGGCAGGGCCCCTGGCATAATGTTCTGCCTCCGCTAGTGCCCAGAGCCCATCACTGCCCCCTTTTGTGCCCCTCTACCAGCATGTCCCAGAGAATTCGCAGGGCCCAGCACACACTCAGATTCTTCAAATGGCCCCAGAGGTGAGGAGCCCTCCATTTCACAGGCGTGTGAGCGAAGGGTCATTTCTGTCAGTGAACAAAAACCTAGTGTGCAGCTCCGTGGGTTGTCACAGGAAGCCCGCCTGTGCGGGTCCCGATTCCCTCATCAGCCCAAGAGGGCAGCTAATGAATTCTAGGAGGGGACCTTGCTGTCCCGCCCCACTGTGCTCTGGGACCTCAGGAAGCTACTGCCCACCTGGGGCCTCCATCTCCACCTCATTGCAGTGTGAGGGTAGTGGGCTCACCTGGCTTCAAAGAGGCCACACTTCCCAGGACCCGGGAACCAGGGCAAAACACACACACACACACACACACACACACACACACACACACGGGGCTTACTGTGGAGTCAAGCCTTTCAGTGAGCTAGCTGAGTGAGGGATCTTGCATCTTAAATCTCTGGATCTTAGGATGGCTCTGCCCCCAGATGCCTGGAACCCTGGCCCCTTTGAGACCATCGAGGGGCTTTCTCACCAGCTGATCCTCCTAACTCTGCCCCCAGAAGCCCCAGAGTTTACCAGGTGTGCTATCCTCTGCAAACATATGCATATTCAGCAGCAAATTCAAACAGATACTGCTATGCCCACTTTACAGATAAAGAAACTGAGGATCAGGGAGAGGGATGACTTACTCAAAGACATACAGCCTGGAAGGGAAAGAGGTGGGCTTCAAACCTTGTCTCACACCAAAGCCTCTTCCTCCCCCTCCTCTCACACTGCAGCACAATGGAATTTCCAAAGCTCTACCTTACACTTCCTTGCTGCGTCTTTGTCTGGTCCCAAAAGGCAGGTAAAGCAGACTTTACTGTCCCCATTTTACAGATGAG